TGATGCAGGGTGCTTGATGGTCCTATTGTATTTCTGCAAAGCAGCTTCTGAGCCCAGTGGATCTTTGGGTTACTCACATAACCGATGGAGAACTGGTTTTGTGATGACATCACATGCTGAGCTGTCCTGGGGTGCTTTGCAGTTTGTTGCACTTTGTATTCCAACTAAGAGTCAGTCAGCATGCTAAGAAAATAAACGCACAGCATGGTATATTTAACAGCCTCTCTTTTGAAGAGCCACCACTGCATAGTTCGGCTATTGTAAACACAGCACAATAACCTCTGTAAACCCTGTCATATTAAGAATTTACACTCGTGTTTGTGTCTGTATAGATGCTGTATTTTCATCTTTCAGCAGTGCTGTAATTGAATCCCGCTCACAGAGCAGCCCTCCGCAGTGAACCTTAGAGACTCCTATAAATAAACTGACAACTCTCCTTCAACACTTGCCTATATGGCATATGGAATGATTAGCTCATGGCTGGAGCCCTCTGATCTTACAGTGTGTAGCCACAACTATTTTCTGTCAGCTATTTGCATTGCTTAACTCGTGGATTGCATCAAGAATGGGGTCTCTGAGGAATTCATAAAATGTAGCTGTGTTGCTGTGTGTGTTGGCCAAACATTAACTTATTATGTGTAACATGATATTGTATTAACAGGATAATTTGTTACAAGAAATGTTTATAAGAGGACTTATTAAGATTGGTCAGTATAACTGTATAAATTGTTGTTTTGATCATTAAAAAGTGCAGTGAAATCTGCATCGATGGCAGCAATAGATAAAACAGATGCATTTAATCCCTTTGATTTTTGCGCTGTCCTGTAAAGACTTTGCTATGACATGTTCTTAATACTAATCTTGTCACCTCTACACTGTGGCAGAGGATCTTTTGGCATTTTTCACCTGTGTTAAGGAAAGTCTTACATGGATCAAGAAAAAGGATGGGCCAGCTAAGCTGCCTGCTCTATCCTCTGAACACCTTGCCATCACCGTGACGGAGACAGTGGTCACCTTTAGGTGCCTGTAGTAGAATAGCTCCAGCTCCAGTCCCTGCTTTCTTTTCAACTTTCTCATGTGCATGAAAACAACACGGAGCTTTCATGTCAGCTGTAATGGGTAAACACTCTTTACCCATTCTGAATGAGGCCATTTGTGTTGGATTTAAGACTTTTTTTAGCGCATTGTTAGTACTTATTTTAACATCATTTTCGACATTGCTGTTGATTCCTTCATCGACCACAGGTGTTATAGGTCACCAGTTCTAATGTAGGTATGATGCAGCACAAAACACTGGAGCTGGTAACCCAGTGCACCAGCATTTTTATTCAATAGGAGTATTTTTAGTTTCAAGCACACTGTACAAAAATATGACGCACAACTCTTGTTATGCATTTTACTTTTCATTTATTCAACATTAAGTGAAGTATTAATTTGAGGTAAGCCTTAAACTAACTGTTAGTTTTGATTCTTTGCTGTTAGATGATTTTATTTTGTTGAGCAGTTAATAAAGCTGCTATTTTGACTTGAGTTCAGTTCATTTGCCCTGTTTTAACTGCTCAGTGTTAGTTCATTTTGTACATGTTACGGTTCTGGGTCAGTTTCTACCCAGTATTTTGAGTTTATTATGTTTTGGTTTAATTTTGCATCAGGAATTGTTCTCTTGTTTGTGTTCTCATGCTTTGTGTGGGTTTAGTTCCATGTGTTTTTTTCTGTCGGTCTCTCAGTGTCGAGTCTGCGTCTTTGTGTAGTGTTCTTGTTTCCTGTTTTATTGTGAAGGTCTGCATCTCATGTGAGTGTGTGTGTGTGTTCAGTTTTACCTCTGTGTCGTCTTGTTGATTACTCCCAGCTGTGTTCCCCACCTGTGTGTAATCGCCCTGTGTTTCTCTGTGTGTATTTAAGTCGCGTCTTCTGTGTATCCACCCTGCTTCATCTGTGTGTTTCCCTGCTGTCAACCGTCATCTTTTTCCGCCCACTCTCATTCATGTCCAGGTTCGTGTTCTGTAGTCAGTTTGTTCCCAGTTTAGTTTAGTCTTTGCTCCGTTTGCCGTTTGTCCATTTCATTTTTGTGTTTAATAAACCACCCTCACACCTGTACAAGTGCCTGCGTTTGGATCCTCCTTTATTTTCCACACGGCTCATCTCACTCGCCGTGACAGTATATTTTTGCATTTTGGGGGTAAATAAAATGCACTTTTTCAAAATACCCACCGTGTCCTCGTGTCTAACCATCTCAGTCCCTCACAGTATACATATTATAAGTAAGTGTGTATGTGTGTGTGTGTGTGTGTGTGTGTGTGTGTGTGTGTGTGTATGATGAAACGTGTGGGCTTCAACTGAGGCCACAACTCAGCATGAGTAAAACTGCATTATAAGGGATGAAAGAACGATGAAGAGGAAAGTCATACAACACTTGCTGGAAGCCAACTACACACTACTGGGGCACTTATTCTGTCAGTAAGCAAACTGAACTGCTAATACAAAGTAAAACACCACACTAACAAAACATGCAAACAAATGATATCACCAGCACAAGTGAGCAAACTCCCAGGACAACAACCGCTCATGTGACCTGGGTGCAGCCACCTATCAGGGTATGGCACTGACAACCCAAATACAGAGGCAAAATAAATGAAAGCAAGCTTTAGCTGCTGATGAAAAGTTCAAAGGTAACGAAAAGAGAAGTATGAAAACACAGGCAGCCAAAGACACCAGGAGTACACACTGAGTAAATCTTACAAGGAAGGGGACACATCCAGGAACATACACAGATCCTCTGCCAGAGAGGAGACAGGACTATATTTAAACTGACGACTGTCTGGGGACTGACAAACAGGAGAGGAATGAGATGAAGGTAAAAGTGACACAGAGGTGAGATAATCACAAAACAGGAAGTAAAACAAGACAAGAATGCAAAGAAAGCTTTAAAGAAAAATGGGAAATAAACAAAAAACATCACTAGAAATAGGATTATCATTAAACACACAGAAAGGGTAGAAGTTCTTAGTAGTCTTCACAAGGGGTAACACGGGAAGATATCACATCAAAACTGCAAAAACTAAACAACACAGTAAAAACCTAATTACCACAGCAGCAATAACAACAACTACAGTGAATTAAACTGATTTCAAAATAAAATAAAACTTCCATACAACAGGACCTCTGTGACCGGAGGAGTCGTCCCCTGCTGGCCATTAGAGAGGAATTTTAAAGTTGCCTCGTATTTACTTAGTTTTTCATACCTCTGAGCTACATCCATGTTTTCTTAATAGTTTTTGATCTATCCTCATACTTAAAACACACAAATAGCTCTGATCGTATTGGCTATTGTTCCACAAAGGACCAACCAATCGGCTACGACTGCACAACTTATAGCCTGGCAAGCTATTTAATAACCAGACATTGTTACCTATAGTTTTTTCCCTGCTAAATTGTATTAGCATCCTCTAGCTTTGCCACAATAAAGTTATTTTGACAAATGCCATCAGAACAAGTTCTTTATCACTAATCTTCCTCTGAAAACAGTACATTTGTTTTTGCTACACTGAAACACTCTGCGTGCATTCTTTATTGTCTCACCACATACAGCATAGGGACTGACTACTAGCCTTACTGGTCAGTACAAGTCAGGCCAGCTGTACGGTAAAGAGAAGGCCAAAAGTCAGGGGGCAAGCTGACAGAGGGAGGGGCTGGTTGTCTCCTATTACTTGCTGCCAGAACTCAGCCAGCCTCATTATAACTTCTCTCACTCTGCTTTCTGTTTAACCACAACACCTGATACACAGTCATCATCTTACACCCTCCACAAACTTTAGGCCTGTCTCATCAAAGAGTGTGAACATAGATGTGGGCTTTTATCTGGGACCTGTGATCTTTTTGTGAAAGAGAAATATCAACCGCTGTTGGCGGTGCTGCCATGTGGTTAATCAGCAGCTCTTGAAGGGTTGAGCTCATTTTTAAATGAACATTATTGGTAAGGTTTGATTGTGCAGTTAGGATGTGGTTAAACCCCCAGTAAACAGCTGATCGCATCACCTTATATCATGCAGTCACTGCCCTCAGACAATCACAAAACAGCATTAAGAGAAATATCAAATACAAAATCACGCTTACGTGAACTCTCCAGTGTGAGAGTTTGGACCCGAGGCTTTCGAGATGTCACTTTTGATGGCTCAATTGAATTGTGTGAAGGTGAAAGCTGCGGCTGACCTCTGGGTTCTTCATTACATGTAATGTAGTGTAATACTACTGGATCATATAGTCCATATTTAATAGCCATTAGATGCCAAAGTAGCAAAATTTACTGAATGATTTATGGCTGTTTGGAAGAATAGCTGCTCTGTGAATGGAAACCAGATTTGTGGCAGGGTGGGTGGGGGGTGGAGGTATGTGCACACATGTGTAGAGAGTAACAGGAAGCAGACCAGCTTTCTCAAATAAATCATTAAATAATTAAATTTCAAGTTTCTCTCCAAGCAATATTCTACTTTCTGTGTACTTTATGACAAAAAAAAAATGAGTATCAATATCAGCTGGTTTCTAGTGAGTCTCCCACCCTGTCAATGAACTCAGTGCCCACCATCTTTGACTGCAGCCTCTGGTGGTAACCTTAATCACACACGAGCTAGTTCTACACCTGCTACAGGTTCTGATTAGAGTGGCCCTCCACCTCAAAGCTGGTCATCAGAGCCGAACAAGGACTACAAATTCCACTTTTTTTCCAGATGGATGAGACTGGAGTGCTTTGAACCACAGGATGAGATCCTCTCTGAATGATATGGAGTACTGTCACAACAGCAACCTGAACACTGCAGCGTGTTTTATGAGGCTTGTTATTATATTCCTAGAAACAGAAGCAAATATTTAAGAGAAACACTGCGGCAAAACAAAAGAAAAAGCAAACTGTGTGCAATCAGTGTCCTGACCTTTTATCCATCTGTTTATTTACTGTTAAAAACATAAAACTACAGAATAATTGAGGTCATCATATTAGTTTTATTCTGAAATTTTAGTGTGTAAGTAGTGAAGGTAACAGTGAAAGATTGTGTACAAAGTTTCTCTTAAAAAAAAGTGAAGGAAAAAATCCAAACAGGGATACAAAAACATTCAAGCTTCATGATGTATTAAGTCTGAAAAACCTCTACATATTTTTACATTTACACCACAAATACAGACGGTTTCTCTAGTGATTGTGATCTCATGATTCTTCTGAATGTGTTTCTGTTAAAACAGATAAATTGTAATCAGATCTGTATTAATCCTCAAACACATTTCAACATGATGGGGAAAGAAAATTGACCCCCCGATGGTGATGGGAAATCACAGTCATTTGTAAAAATAAAGTAGGATATTGTTTCAAAGACAAATCGTCATTAAGATAGCGATACAGAAACTGATTCCTCCTGCTTTTTAAGGCACATAGCAGATGTGTCACGCCTGAAAATAGACTTTTGATGTCTACTTACTTCTATATTTAAAGCGCACACTTGGAATGGGAAACTGAAATAATCACAAATGTCAACAACAGCAACAACTAAAAAAAATGGCAGACACAGCAGAAATTTTGATTTGTACAAACAGTAACTGTAACAAAAAGGTGTCTTCAGCTCACAAACAAATCAGCTGACTCTAAAGGCTGTCTGTGGTAACACTGGTGACCTGCGGCTGCACCCTGTTCCTGTTACAGCTGAAGAGCCAGGCTGCCCTCCTGTGGCGGTAGCGCTTAGACAGCAGCACATAGAGCACTGGGTTGACACAGGGGTGCAGGTATTGGAGCACAGTACAGATAAAGTGGAATATATCCCAAGCCGCTCTGTGGCGATACAGCCCCAGGTACACACACAGCTCCAGCACATAACTAGGCAGCCAGCACACTGAGAAGGTAGCTGCAGCCAAGAAAACCATGACAGAGGCTCTGCGGGTGTTTTTGGCACTGGACACTGACATTACGGGACTCTTGTGGAGAAACAGAGCCAGACGGACATAGTTGAATGCAATGACTAGCATCAGAATAAAGTAGTAAAGTACAAACTGGCTTAGGACCACTTGGTAGTGGTGCTCATGAATGGTTGGAAGGCAGAAGGTGAAGTTCGTCAGGTTTGGGCCCATGCTCTTTTTGGTAGCAAACATTCGCAGAGGCAGGCTAATAAAGAAGCTGAGGGCCCAGACTAAGACAAACATAAGAATGACCAGATCCAGGGTGGGAGGCTGGTACGGGTTGGTGATGATCATGGCTCGGGTCATGGACACAGCGCATAGCGAATAGGTGCTAGCTGCCAGACTGAAGGCTAGCAGGAACTGGTAAACCTTGCAGGAGATGTCACCAAGAGGCCAGGAGTGACTTACAGCAGAGTGCAGTGTGAAAGGGATGAGCAGGAGAGTTAGGAAGTCAGCCAGAGTCATGCTGAACAGAAGGATATCGAGCCGGTTCTTACGCAGTGTGTTGTACTTGGCAAACAAAGAGAAGACCAGCAGGTTGGCACACAGCCCAATGCCCAGGATCACACCACAGGTACAGGCAAAGATTAACCCATAGGTGTTGAGAAAAGCCATGTTGTCATCGGAGTGACATCATCTGTCAGAAAAGAATGACATTTGGATTTTGAGATTTGGGTTAAAAAAGAACAATAAATTAATTAGGGAAATAAAATCCCGATTAATGACTCAACAAACTGAAGTCCTGTTTATATCACATTTACTCTGCTTAATGTTAACACACAAGTGACAGCTTCATCACATGGCACCTGTAAGGCTTGTGTAGACCTACGTGTCACAGTAAATGACACATATATACCAAAACACATATATGATGCAAGGCAGAGTAAATGTACTGATCAACACTTTTGTTTACTGACAAGCCAAATTTATTTCAATATCACTTTAAGACAACGCTGAAAGCTACTAAATATCTACATTTACACTAAATATAGTGTTAAACAAATTAATATGGTTTAACTCAGACGTGATAGCACTGGAAAGAGACATCAGGTTAATCATTTTTTACTTACCATTGTTGTACCTCCATTATTAGCTCATGTCCACAAGTGAACTAACCTCATTATGTAAAATGAAACATTTGCTGGTTTGTATCCCGTTAAAACAAACTGTGAGATGTGAGAGCCTCTAAGGACTCATTACAAAGTGTGATCGCTGAATGTGAAGGCAAGAAAGGCAAACATTACTTGGGCCAGATTGATTCTGGTTGACTAGGTTTAAAGAGAAATGGACTCTGGTCACTCTGGGAGAGATCAGTGATATACAGTGCATACGTGTTTTGTTAGCATTCATGTTTCTTAGTTTTGTTATATGATGTTTGAAGCTCTGTAGTCTAGCAGTACATGAATAGACAACACTGGCCTATTTAGGGACATAAAAGGTGCTTTGTAAAAGGTCTGGTCTGGCAATTAATCATCAAAGCTAACTAGGCACCTATGTAAACCTGAGCAGATGATAAACACACTGATAAATGTGAATGCCCTATAAGATGTGTGGCAACAGCAGCGATGAGCATTGCAAAAGTAAACAGTAGCAGTTTTTCTTTAACCTCTAATCAAACAAAAGTGTTGATCATTTCACTAATGTGATATTTGCAGTACGATAGTGATAAGTTTTACTTGAGGGAAAGATTTCTTTTGCATTTAAAACATGAAAAAGAAAGAAAACGGGGCTACTGCAGTAGGCCTACCCTTGATGGTAGGCCTACTGCAGGAGTTCACAACCAATTCACTGTATTTATATGAAATGTTTAATGTCTGAGTGCGTATGCCCTGTGAGCCAAACACTTCCTGTCAGAAGTCTATTTAGAACTAGAAACGTCTGTTCTTGAACACAAGCAACAGAATGAAAGCTTTTCGAAGATTTGGCAGTTCAAGCTGATATTGTGCCAATTTCACTGTTTTATGTTTGAATGTGATATCTTAGCCCTGAGATGTTTTTCTTGAGATTTTCTTATTATTCATCACAAATGTTCACTTGGACTCAAGGATGAACTGATTAGATTTTATTTTTACTTCATAAAACAAGTTCTTATTCTAATTCTTACAAAAATTTTACACAAATTTCTAATAGGATAAAATGATAAAATAATAATGTTTTAAAACCAAAAGGTCAAAGTTCACCTTCACTACCCCATAAAACACTCCACCACAACTAAGGAACAGAGGGAAAGATGGATTTATGTTATCTATGTTTCGTAAGTAGGCGCAGCAGCGACCTGTCTTTGATGGTAAATGGCCTGCATTTGTATAGCGCTTTTCTAGTCCATAGGACCCCAAAGCGCTTCACACTACATTCAGTCATTCACCCATAGGCAATAGCAAGCTACATTGTAGCCACAGCTGCCCTGGGAAGCACTGACAGAGGCGAGGCTGCCGGACACAGGCGCCACCGGGCCCTCTGACCACCACCAGTAGGCAAACATGGGGTTAGTATCTTGCCCAAGGATATTTGGCATGCAGCCAGGATGCAGCCTGGGATCGAACCACCGACCTTCTGATTATTGGCTGACCTGCTCTGCCACCTGAGCTACAGCCACCCCGATAGCAACAAACTAGCATTAGCTTCACAAGCTTTTCACCAGTACTTACCTGCAGTGTGCATTTGGTTATATGTGTGGACCAAAGAGAGGGAGCAAAATACTGACAACTCTACATCAAATGTAACCTGAGAGAATATAAAGATAAATGCATGAATATAAATGTGCTTACCTCTCTCTTTACCACTAGTCTTTGGTGTATTATAAACCATCTTTTGCTCGTATTATGTTTTTTTGATGTTTTGTTTTTGTTTTCTCTTGTTTTGTTGTTTTTCTAATCCCATAATATGGCCAGTGAGCAATGTCAAAAAAAACCCCACCTAGCTCATTGATTATGTTCTCTGTTCTTTCACGTCTATAGATATTAATTTTTCTCTGCACTGTTTGATTTCTTCAGTGTGAGCTGCAGGCTCCTAACGGTGGCTTTATCAGGCTTTCCACAGCTTTTATGACTCATTTTAGCTAATGGTGTACACTGCTGCTCTTAGTTCAGGATAGCTGACGTCGATGCATCTGCTAACCCCTCCATTATCGGTGTCTGTATCTTACGTTCAGTGGCTGTTAAAGTGCCACGTGTTCTCAAGTGGAACATTAACAGCTTCATTGTGTTCTGTTCATGCCGAAAGTCAACAACACTGTTTTTCACGCTGCTACCTTCAGCAAACATTTTAAACGTCTGTTTTGACCCAAATGTTACACTTACTATTATTCGTACTATTTTATCTTGATAATAATACAGCATTTGTAACTATTTTTCAAAGACTTTGAGGGAAAACTTACTATGAGCACTATAATAGCAATATAATATAATAATTAATCAGTTATTGGATAAACGTTTTTTCAGACAATGTTGTAATCTTATATGATTCACAGAATTCATGGAATATGTTTCTATTCTGAAGTGCTGGTTAAAATAAAAAAAGCAACTTGGTAGTGATCTCAAAGGCAACACACGGTCACAATAGGCTCTTAAAAATTGCATTTTCTAGCTCAGATTAGTTATTGATGATGCAAATAATCCCTTGTGTTGTCAGAAAATGTATATATTGCATACATACATCTGTAGGATATAAAAGAGTACTGAACGCCAAGTTTACTTATAATGGGTTGGATCCCCTTTTGCTCTCAGAACTGCCTTAACTTTTTATGTTAAAGATGCTCCTCAGGAATTTTGGTCCACGTTGACATGACAACATCACACAATTGCTGCAGATTGGTGATGTGAATCTCCTGTTTCATCACATGCCAAAGGTGGTCCAGCAGGTAGAGATCTGGTGACTGTGGAGGCTGGTGAGTGCAGTGAACTAATGATCACATTCAAGAAACCAGTTTAAGATGATCTGAGCAAGTTATCCTGCTGGGAACAACCATTAGAAGACGGGTACACTGTGAAAAAGCGATTACTGGGTAACATTACTCAGGCTGTGGGATACAAGTGATGCTCACTTCATTTCTAAGGGGCTCAAGTGTGACAAGACGATATCCCTAACACCATTATACCACCAGCAGCTGGAACCATTGATACCATTGATGGAGCCATGCTCTCATGTTGTTAATGCCAGATTCTAGTCCTACCATCCAAATGCTGCAGCAGAAACCTAGACTCATCAGACCAGGCAACATTTTTCAACTATTTTATTGTCTAGTTTTTGTGAAGTTGTGTAATTTCTATCCTTGGGTTTTTGCTCTTAGCACAGCACTTGGTGTGGGCTTCATCAAAGGTTGATTTGTGGTGCTGTGTGAGTGTATTTCCAATCTAACCATTCTCTGATCTCTGGCATCAAAAAGGCATTTCTTACCCAGAGAACTGCCACTCAGTGAGTATTTTCTCTTTTTTAGACTATTCTTTGTAAACCCAAGAGATGTTTGTGTTGGAAAATTCCAGTAGACCATCAGTTTTTGAAATATTCAGACCTGGCTATTTGGCACCAACAACCATGCCACGTTCGGAGTCACTTAAATCACCTTGCTTCCCCATTCTTAAACTTGAGCTTTAGCAGGTCATTCAGGTCATCGTGCCCATGGCTAAATACACAAGGTGTGACTGGTTTATTAGATAGTTGCATTTGTGAGTAGCTCAACATATCTACCTAACAAGTTGGCCATTGAGTTTAGGATTTCTAGGTGATACAGACCGACACAGTTCACTGCATCATAATGTTGTAGTGTGACACCCACGAGGAGCTGGCAATGCCTGGTTAAAGGGGGATATTTTGCTGATAATCATATGATCAGGTCTGTGGTAAAAAACTAAAAATAAAATGTTTTTTTCATGTTTTTTCTTAATTCATCCTCTCTAAAGACTTGAGCTGTGACTTGAACCATGGTTTTAGAGGATTATTAGTCTCTTAGTAATTTGCCATTTCTAAATTTTCTCTTATTTTCTACATTTGTATAATTTGAATAACAAATTCACAATTATCAGTGCCTTTATACGCTTCTTTTTCTCTTTTTTTTTTTGTTTTTGCTTTATTTTGGTCTCACAGTCAAAAATTAAATATTAAAAATATTAAATGCTTTATTTTTAGAAGGAGTCCCAATTAATCAAATTATTTGAATAATTTTTCTCAGCAAATCATTTTGGCTCTTTCTTAATGCCAGATTTTCCATTTGAGCTGCATATATCCTGGTAATAAAGACACAGAGAATAAAAAAAATAGCTCTAAGGACTACATATTTAATGTTTGAATAACTGGAAAATTATACAGTATGCCCTCAGTGCACGTGCAGAACATTATCCAGTAGATGATTCTGGCTTAATGTAAAAGAAAAATCCAATGTTAAGTGATTGAAGTGGGTTTAATGAAGCGTACGCTGAGTTATCTAAGGTGTGAAAGAAAAGCAGGACCATCATAGAAAAAAAAATTACTAAACCATAATCTCAACCACAAAAGAACATATACAGGATATAGCTAAAGTGCATTATGGGATTTAGTCAGCAGCACTGAAATACATTCACAAAATAAATATACATTTTAAAGTACAATAAATTATGAACTGATGTATTCATTGACCAGTTTGTTGTGTGTAAGTCCGTAACGGTCAGCACTCAGAGCCAAACAAAAAGCAGGGTGCCCAGCATCGCATTATTTGTAGAAGTTATCATGTATAGGAAATAAATACTTCCTCCCGTGCTCTTGCATACATCTGAAACTACAAAACATATCACTGCTTGGAAGTATATCAGGGCTGCAGAGTTGTAAAGATTTTCCAAATAAATATGGACCTAAGCAGGTGTTACCATGAAACTAAAATGAAGTGTGAGATTGTTTTACAGCAAAAATACAAACAACAAAGCCAAATATTAATATACAAGCACAAACTCAGGGTTAAGATATAAAGTGACTGAGTCTGGCATCGTTAGTCTGTCAGGCATCAGTCAGCCTGCGTCAGTGTCTTAGTGCAGTACATAAAGGGTACTGTTTTTTTAATTTTTTGCTTTTAGATAGCCATCCGTGGTGGCGCCTTTGTTAGAACAGACCGTGCTCGCCTCCTCTTCTTATCGTTTTCTCTACGCCGGCCCAGCCTCACCTTTTTTTTCCTCTTGGTGGCAACTTTAAGTGACTCCTTATAAGCCTGAGCTTTGTTGGTCTCCTGAGGGAGGTTAGGGCCCACTCTGTCCTGCCTGAACCTGTCAGAGAGATCTTTGGTGGCCCCCGAGGGCTTCTGGTGGTTTCCACTGAAGCTTTGGCTCGAGGTTCTGCTTTGTGCAGGTGGAGCACGATCATCAGCCGTGTGCACCTCCTCCAGCAGCTCGTGTAGCCACATGCGGCGCGTGTACTCATGTATGGTGCGGCCCTTATCATGCATCAGCTGGGCATGGCCTACTGACCTCTTCCTTACAGCAAAAAAAAAAAGTGCCAAAGTTAGATTAAATTGTATCAAAAACAAAGGTAGTAAAAAAGCCACATGGTGGACTATTAGAAATCCGTTTCAGTCTCTGATATCTCTTAGATTACTGCTGAACATTAATCCCAGAGGAATATATCATTTCCTCTGGGATTAATAAAGTGTCTGATTCTCAGTCAGTCATTTAAGAACTTTTTTTGTTCCAACTTTAAATTTTATTTGACATCTCAGTGTTAAGTTAATAGAAGAAGTGGTTGGCTATTATAAATTTTAGGTCAGGCTTTATGAAACCTCAATACAGTAGGTGGCAGCATAAACAAGTGTGAGAGCTGTCACTAATCTGAGTTTGATATGGACCTAAAACAGAGAAAACATCCCATGCCTTACTTTAAAATATTCAAACTGCAGAAAATCTCAAATATTTTTTTCTTAAATTGCTAGCTTTTCGAAATCTTGCATAGAATTTGTTTATTCGTTTTTTTAAAGGTATCACAAAGGTAACTCACATTCTGCTACTAAGTGCATCAACTGGTCTCCCATCGAGAGTCACCGGAGAGCACAGCAAGAACACAGCCAGACTCCACTGATGAAGCACGACTATAGAGCACATCCCTGAGGCAAAAACGTAAGCAACACAATGAATATCATCAGTCTCTCTAATGAGTAATGAATTAATCCTAAACTGTGTCTGTTTTTTCAGTAGAGTTCGTTTCATCTGAAAAATGACACACACAGCCTTTAAACAGTCCTCTAAAAATATAAACATTTAAACTTACTTTGTTTCCAGTGAAAATCCCCCCAAAAAACCGTAAGCTCTTAAGTGTTGATGTTCTTGCAAAAATGATTTCACAAAAAAGATGTGTGAAAATTAATGTGCCAAACACAGTTTGGCCCATTCAGAACTTGTGAGCAGATCCATTGGTGTAAATGTAGCCTAGGGAAATCCCCTCCGAGTCGACTCCATTAATTTGCCTCCCAACAGTGTGTGTTAAGCTATTTATAACTTCCCAGTGTCCGAATAAAAGTGGGATAAAGATAGAAAGAAGAGAAGCCCATCAGCTGCAGAGCCACAACTCTGCTCAGTCCTGCAGTAATCTCATGTGAAGTCGCACTGAAGCATCATCTGCGGTAGTCAGAGCTGCTGAGCCGAGCTGAGAGCTCTGTGTGTGAGCCTGTGTGAGTCCGTGTGAGAACAGGCACTGAGAGAAAGTCAAACTCCTCTTTGGGTGAAGATGCATGCGCTACCTCAGCCCCTACCCATTAAGTCCAGTGCTAACACCCTGCCCAACCTCCCAACCCTCACCTCACTCTCACTCCCCACCAACCCTTCACTCACACCTGCTGTGACATGAACGTGGCACTGATGCAAAGTCCAGTCATACAACAAACAGCGTACTGAAAAAAAACTAATGAATAAACATATATTTAGAGGAATTTCTATGGAATTTCGCCATACTTTCAAAATGCAGTCTACTAGTATATTTTCATTGGGTGCTCAGAAATGACAGGTGTGCACCAGTGTAGGTAATCATGAGTTACCAAGCAGAGAGTGAATGGTATAAGGGGAGGGGCAGGGTTACTCCAAAGTAAACAGCCAGGCCTAACCACTTTCCCAGGGGAGAATGACCATAACCTCAGAGAAACCCAACCCACAGCCTCTCACTGCAGACCATTCAGTTCACCTCCACTCTGCCTCTGCAAACCAGCTCACCACCAAATGGTTACAGTGGGTTCTGAGGTATCTTTCATATTCAGCTCATAATGAGACTACTGAGGTTTGCATTAAGGCAGCTGTATACAACCTGAGGTTCACTATGCATATTCAGGTGCTGAACCGAGTCTCGAGTGCCTAGTGATTTAATAAATGCACTTGTTAAAGCTTGGCACTCTCACATAAGAGGTGCCTCTGTGACTAAAAGTGCATGTATTTTTAGTCTCACATTGACAGACAGTGCATCATGTCCCAAGTGTGGAAGTGCATGCAGCAAGAAGGAGTGTCTTTTTTAAATATAATGCATTGCTTATATTTGAACCTTTGTTTTTTGTTTTTTCTGAAAAGCCTGATGTACACAATCAGACACTTGCAGTGCTACTGTGAGCAATAAATTGTGCAGAAATACCAGATGTAGCAAAAATAATAAAAAATTAAAACTCAAATATACAAATTGACATTCAATCTTCAAGTGCCCCAAGTTTCAGTAACATTAGAGTTTCAAAATAATATGAATTTTCTAGCAATTATTTCATGGGTCAGGTTTTACAGTGTTAATTTGAACTACAACTCCTGTCACCATTTGAAAAGCTGGGCTAAAAAATAAGTGAAAATTACATTCATTTATAATTTACTAGACCAGTATGCAAACAAAGAAGTTTTTGGAATAGTTTCTTAATTTGATGATTTTTATATAATTGCACATCTCACAAAACAGATATATTTATGTTTTATCAAACATGCTACCAGTGCCACGCTAAAGTCCTAAATGCGGCACAGCTATTTGTATTGAGCTAAATAGAACTCTACTGTTTTTACAAGCTTTGTCACTTGTTTTTTATCTTTAATCATGCATGCTTTGTCTGGTATCTGTGACAGCAGGCTAATGTTTCTGTATGTTTATGACAAAGCACATCACTAGATGCTAGCAATAGAGTTAACATAGCATGGAGGAAGCTAAAAGCCAAGGGTCCTCTAGTTTAAAGTTTGCACTGCTATGCCAACAACTTTTGTTTGATTGCAAATTTTTGACTTACCTGGAGTTTGCATGGCTCACTAGTTCAGATGGTGCTTTCCCTGTTGGCTTCTTTCATCCATGCTTACGTTTGTAACATTTCGTCAGGAAGATTTTATTACACATGTGACCATGTTTTGTTGTCACCTCAGTTAATATCCTATTGCCGGTTACTTATGAGCTCAACTCCACAAGATGAGGTGCACTCGCAGTAAAAGCATGTAAGTGAGAAACTACCATGACCATAAATGACTGCTGTATGCATAAAGACTCTCACACTAAGCTGAAATCAGACTAATGGAAAATAAATATTAATAAAAGTTGTTAAATAGGAAATCCATATTTAAATTTTTTATTAGACCCCTTGTCATAATGTAATTTTTGTCGTCTGCTTGCAGAGTGAAATAAAGCCTCTTGATTTATTAATCGAATCTGGAATCGGCATATTTTAGAAATCTATATACTGTTAGCATTTATCTAGTTTACTATTCATATTTTGTTCTTTCCTGTTTATATTATGCACACCTGTATTTTAAGCCTTTTAGTTTGTGTTCTCCTTACTGTTTTATAAAGTCTATTATTTGTACTTTGTTTCCTCAGTGTTCTTTTTGTTCAGCGAGTCTGTGTCTGTGTATAAAAGTTGTCCTTTGAGTTAGATTCAAGTTTACTTTGGTAGTTAGTTGTGTCCTGTGTTGAGTTTACTTCCTCCCCTCCCTCACTGTCTTGATTGTCTACAGCTATGTCTAGTTTGGTCCCCTCTATATTCTTGCTTTTTGGACTTTGTGTCTCTGAGTCTTGACCTGGGCTAATGAAAACGGTTGCTTTCTGTTTTCTTACTCTGTCTCCTGTGTTTTGGGTCCTTTTAAAAGACTTCCCTATAACATCAGCTGTCTGACTAACAGTCAGACAGTTTGTACATAACTCCAGATTTAGTCTTTTCTTTCTTAAATATTGTTTAGGTTGCTGGGATATTTGAATTGCTTTACTGATGAATTTTGTCACGCACTATTTGGTTTTCTTTCTTTTCATTTGGATTTTGAAACCCAGCATTGTGCCTGCAGTTTATTACAATAATAATCAGCACTTATTCAAATGCTGGTTATGTAAGTCTAAATGTAAGTCTTTTTTTTATTATGTAAAAAAATGCAATGTAATGTACACGATGAACAGACTCCACAATTGTTCATCTATTAATATTTATATATTATTTCTAAGGCAGTAAATACAGTTTATTCAAAATCCTGAGTCATTTATGTAGTTGCTGTAGCTTGCTGTTTTACTGGATGGAATAACTGGCATTTATCCTCATGAAAAGGAACCATAAATAATTTCTGTGTGCAGTGATGATTACTAGAATCACTTCAGGGCAGTCTGGAGACCAGTTGGTGGTAAATTATTTAATAGAGGGCTCTGTATTTTACAAGCAGTCATGATTCAGTTCAGCAAGGTGTCCAGAAAGGGTTTGGGGCTAGGACAAATATATGGCGGACCCCCCTGCTGTCTCCCAAATTTTAGCTTTCTTCTCCTGCCAGTGAGTCTGCCCCAAACTTCCAACACTTAAACATTTGGTAGGGAAAAAATACCTCATCTGATTCCGTTCTGCAAAGACTTTACCTACAAGAAATATGAAAAAAATCCCATTTCCTGGCAGACTGCAGCATATGGAATAGGAGCCAGGAAAGCTGCTTTTGATTCATGCTAAATTGCACTCTCAACACAGAACAGTATTCCTGTCGGTTTTTCATCCTTTTCACTTTGCCCCTACTTTACATTCGCACATACAGAACATATACACACCCGCCCACTCTACTTTCAAAAAATGTGGAACCAACCGGCATTGACACACATTGCATTCACAGAAACACCTTCATTTCATCTTTAAATTCAGAGTTCATCATCTATTTTTAGATGCTTTTTACCCATTGCCTGCACTGGCCCACCCTATTAGGTCATAAATCCTGTCTCAAGATGCAGTCACAGTTCCTGCTTTTGTTGTGGAGTTGCATTCAGAGTCACCATGTGGATGTATGATTTTGATTTTAGCAGTTCCCTATGATCGCAGTCAACATCCTTTATTATATTATAACTATCTCAAAGTTCGTCTTTAACTCTGAATGCTGTTTGTTCTTTAAGAGGGATTAAAACATTTTAGCAAAAATAAAAGCAGTAGAATTTCTTTTTAACATCTGTAGTTTAGTATAAGCTTGTTTGATATAAATATGTGACAATAATCAGCTGCAATGAATAAAGTTTTAAGTTTTAATGTGTGTTTGATAATGGTTCCTTTATTACGCAGTCTGGACTTTGATCGTTTGACCATTTGTTCACATGAGAACTTCAGGTTTGTTATCCTGGAAAACCTCACTTGAAGAATGACTTTTGCAGAGTTACTTTCCCCTCTTAATGGTTTTTTAACGGCGAATTTCTGTATGGACCATTTCAGTTAGTTCATCTGAGGCATGCTTCATAATGTCGAATTGTGGGAAGTTGGAGGAGTTTTCTGCAGATCATTCACACCTAACAATCATAACTGTCATCCAAGGAATGCTCTTTATTCCTTTTTACCTTCAGCTATTTTCATCAGCTCGGCTACAGGGGCCCATTTTTATTCACAAGTACTCCTGAGGCAAAATGTTAAATTGATCCGCTCTGTTTTCTTTGCGTTTGGTGGTTTATTGATGCTTAAATCGTCACTTATTTAAGAGCAGGTTTTGAATATCAAGCACATACTTTAGTGAATAAAATGAAATCTGTATTAAGTTGAGTTTACTTTTTTTTTAACAAACTCACTTAAAATGGGGGAACTTTTAAAAATGCATATGAAGTGTAACTATCATGTTTATAAGTCCTAGGGATGTGGCACATTTAATGCATTGTTTTTGCACTGTATGATCATGAGATTTTAATAATATAAGCATCAAATTGACCAAATCCCCCCACCCTGCCCTGACCTGTATTATTGAGCTTCTAGAATGTCAGAAAAAATTTGGCACACTGTGTTAAATGTAAATAAAAATGGAACCCAATGACTTTCTAATCTCAAAACCAACATTTGGTCAAATGCTTAAATTGAGAGGAAACAAAATGTAGAAAAATAAGGTCATTTTGGATTTGATGGCAGCACCATGTCTCAGAAAGTTGGGTTAGGATCAACAAAAGTCTTGAAAATAAGTTGTACTACAAAAAAATAAAACAGCTGGGGGAACATTTTTGCAGCCAATTAGAGTAACTGAGAACAGGTCAGTAACATGAGTATGAAAAGTATTAAGAGTGCACATTAGTTTTTCAACAGTAAAGACAGGCAGTGGTTTACCAGTCTACAAAAACTGCGTCTACAAATAATGTTCCTCAACATACAACAGTAAAGACTTTGAATACCTAATTATTTACTAGGGGTGCAACGATACACAAAATTCACGGTTCGGTTCGGTTCGATACTTTGGTGTCACGGTTC